TATGTCATCGCGGTAGGGTCGCGTTTTTCCTTAGCGCTTCGAACGGCGCGGATTTGCCCTCCGTGATTATGTCATCGCGGTAGGGTCGCGTTTTTCCTTAGCGCTTCGAACGGCGCGGATTTGCCCTCCGCACTTATGTCAGCGCGGATAAGGGCTTCGCGGTTTTGTGGTGGAACCTCTTCAACCAATTCTGCTCAGTGAGTTAATTGTCTTGCCGAACCTTTCAGCTACACAGTTAATGGCTTACAGCAGGGGTGTCAAACTTGATTTCATTGAGGGCCGCATCAGGGTTGTGTTTGACCTCTGGGGGCCAAGGTGGGCAGGGCCAGCTCAGTGTCACTCGTGTCGGGGGCCCAAGTGATCTGCCAGTGATCTGCCAGTGAAATTGCTGGGTGTGGTGCTGGGTGTGATGTGGTCTGTGCTGTGTTCATCCTTGAGATAGTGAAGTGCAAGCACTTAAAGTCCAAGTGATCTGCCAGTGATCTGCCAGTGAAATTGGGCTCCCGAGCTCCGTTTTCAGCTGTCACAACCTCCTGCAACCTTCTGCCAGTGGAAAAGGAGCTCAGGAGTGCCTTCCTGAACTCTGTTTTCGCTGGTGGAGGGTTGCAGGAGGCTGTGACAGCCGAAAAGGGAGCTCGGGAACCTAATTTCACTGGCAGAAGCACCGCAGGCTGGTGCTCCGCTGTTTTCAGTGTGGCCCTATGGGCCAATTCTAAGTACCCCTAGGCAGGATCTGTCTCCCAGGCCTTCAGATTGACACATCTGACATACAGTTATTCACCTGGTGACCATCCATAGTTACAGTAACACTGAAAAAGTGACATGACCATTTCACGCTTACGGCCATTGCAGCCTTCCCATGGTCATCTAATCAAAATTTGGACACTTGTCAAATGGCATTTATTTATGACAGTTGCAGTGTCCCAAGGGCATGTGGGCACCTTCTGACTAGCAGAGTCAATGGGGAAGCTAGATTCATAACCATCGTGTCACTAACTTAACAACTGCAATGATTTCATCCACAACTGTGGCAGGAAAAGATCATAAAATGGGGCTAAATTTATTTAACACTGTCTTGCTTAGCAATGGAACTTTTGGACTCAATTATGGTCATAGATTGAGGACTATCTGGTGTATATCCCATCTCCTCCAGTGTGTCCTGGCACTACCAACTCCTCCACTCCGACCACTTGAGAAAACTGGGCATAATTTTGATTAAGGTTGTATAGAGTAGAGTGGGATTCCTAGATGCTACATCCTATAAAGATCAAACATGCATATTTTTTCTGGGTACATTTAGAAATTTTACACCCATCTGTATAGAAGGTGGAGATCTTGCATTACTCAGGAGCAAAAGAAATGGTGCGTACCTCTTCAATTTCTGCACAATGATGGAGGGACAGCAAAAATGGAGGTCATGCTGTGATGTGTAACTTGAGATCCAATTCTTGCAAATAGTTGGGGATGCATATTAAAGAAAAAGGATTAATCTAAGTTAAAGCTACTTCCTTGTCATCTGAAATGGGCTTCAATCCAGGAACAAATCTGACTTTAGCAACCTGGCATGATTATTCCCACATGAAATATATTTTGTTCCTTTTTTTAAAAAAAACACCACTAGATTTTGAAGAGAAGGTGCCTAGTTTATGCAGAAATATATTAATTTGTTAAAAAAAATTATTATAACCATGGCAAGAGCTATTATAAATGGTTGATGCAGGCATTTAGTGCAGCATAATGGGCTGCTAATGTACAAAAATGAAAATAAGAGTGCAAGAAGAAAAGGGAAACTANCTCCCACCCGGTCACATCACTGCCAAGCCACTCCCACTCAGTCACATCACTGCCAAGCCACTCCCACCCAGTCACATGATCACCAAGCCACTCCCGCCCGGTCACATGACTGTCAAGCCACTCCCACTTGGTCACATGACTGCCAAGCTACTCCCACCCAGTCACATGATCGCCAAGCCACTCCCACAAAACAGGCCACACCTACAGAATAGGTTCTAAAAAAACCCTCCTCTGCTTTGGAGGGAGAATTGGGGCAGAAAAGGGGGTCCCAGCAGAGCTCCCTCTCCCCCCAATTAACACAGCACCCTCCCCAGCTGATGATGAGCGTCCACCCGAGGCTCACCTTCTCGGGAACCAGCAGCAGGTTCTGGACAGCTTCCGGCTTCTCGAACAGCTGGATCTCCTCAATGATGTGGGCTCTGTGGCCGACCACCACTGCCTTGTGCAGGGATCCTCTGTCTGCAGGGGACAAGCAGAGGTTGGGGGCCGCCCGTCAGAGGAGGGGGGCTCCTACTCAGCCCCCCCCCCAACCCAATGATGGGGGTCAGGTTTTGAAAGGAAAGGCAGCACCGGAGGGAGAGATGAACTTCCCAAAACAACCCACGGCTGAATGCCCAAGCAAAGCAAAGTTGACTAAATAGTATTTCCCAACAAGAGTTTGCCAAACAATAGTTGGAGAATAATTCAGCTAGTCCTCGACTTACGACCCCAATTGAGCCCAAAATTTCTGTTGATAAATAAGTGCTGTTGCGCGAGTTTTGGCCCACTTGACAACCTAGTTCAACCCCCCCCTCTCTACCCACGGCAGATATATCTGTTTCTCACTTTAGCTTCCCCCCCCCCCGCCCTGCTTTTACAATTCTGTTTATTCTTTTTCTTATTTTTAATTTTCAGCTGATTTTTTTTAAAGGTGCAAGAAACTCCAACTCCGAGCTCTTGTCCCCCCCCGGGGGCAAGACTCAAACCGCACTTCGGCATTGGACCAGGGTTGGACCTGGCAGCAGTCTTCCAATATTTGGAGGGGCCGCCACAAAGAAGGCCGGGGGGAAATCAACCTCCTCCCCGAAGCATCAGAAGGGCAGGGTGGGAATTGGTGAAGGAGAGAAGCAACTTAGCAACTGAGGAGAAAACTTCCTAGCGGTGAGAAGAATGAAGCGGGGGAATGGCTCTCTGGGGGGGGCTCCATCACTGGGCGGCCATTTTGTCTCCAATTGAGTAGGGTCTCCTGCTTGAGCAGGGGGACGGACTAGAAGACCTCCAAGGTCCCCTCCAACTCGGTTATTCTGGGTGGAGGGAGGGAGCCCTACCTGTGCCCAGGAACAGGACGGTGCAGGCAGCCCCGCAGGGCTTCTGCGCTTGGTGCACTGCGATGCGGGTGTACTTCACGTCCTCCTTCACCAGCAGAGGCTGGTCGTGGACGGGAGCCACCTTCTCGTCCATCAGGAAATGGTCCTTCATGAAGGTCAGGGCCTTGTCGGAAGAGGGGCCCACCAAGCACTGAAGGGAAAGATCAACAGGAGCTGAGACCCAGACCTCATTTTGGACCGGGTCATCCCACCCGCCCCGTTCCTCCCCGGCAGAGACGGTCCAAAATGTTGCTCCCAACCTTTGCTGCGACTGCCTTTGCCAGCAGCGTTGCCGAGGGGGGGAGGGGGGGCACTCACGCTGCCAGGCCGGGGGTCCATGGCAGGGCCACTGTAGGTCGTCCACCGGGAGCAGTCCTTGTTCAGCTCCTTGTACTTCCCGTCGAAGGCCTTCTGGATGGCGTCCAGGCTAAAGGCACAGACAGCTGAGCTGCCGGAGTTCCCGTTCTGCCTGCGGGGAATGGACACGCCAGATGCACTTCTCCAAGCAATTGACGGCTCCTGGAACTCCTCATAAAGTTGCCCCGGTTGAAGACCCCACCGGCCCCTGCTTTATCCTCCCCCGCACTCTGTGAAAAGCGCCCCCCCCCTCTTACCACTGAGAAGCGAAGATCCCATAAAAGAGGAAGCCGCCCCTCGGCTGCGGGAGAGCGAAGACGTGCTTGAGGACGGTGTGTGGAAAGAACCCCGCCTGGCTGCAAGAGAGCTGAGCTTTGAGGAAGGTGGTCCATTTCTTCTGCAGGACCTTGTCGCCCCCGACGTCGTTCTGCGGAGAGAGAGGCGGGCGGGAAAGACCCACTCAGGAACGGGGCCCATGCTCCATGGCAGGAATAAGAAAACGGGCCGTTTGGGGCTCAAGGTCTGGTGGGAGCCCTGGTCTCCTCTTAACCCTTTCCAGAGGCCACCATCTTCGGCCAACGGAAGAGGCGTTTGAGCCGAAGAGACGATGGTTTTAAGGCCGGGGCGAAGTCCGCAGGATGGACGCTCTTCCTCAGCCTTGGCCAGGTGAAAAACGGGAGGACTTCAACTCCCAGAACTCCCCCCCCCCCGGCTGCCGTGTTTGACCTAAAGGTGCTTTTGCTTCTCCAGATGGTGCCTCTCAAACCTTCAGCCTCAGCCTCCTCGGCAGAGACGCCCGGCTGAGCCTGGGCTCCAACGGGGGACAGGGCGAGCCCCTCACCTTGCAGACTCGGGCGACCCGGGAGACGGTCAGCTTCTCCATGAAATCAAACTCCTTTGCTGTCTCTTCAAAGAAGAAATAGATCTTCTCCTCACCCGGAGGCCCCGGGACGTTGAAGGAGGCCACGAAGGCAGCATCGTCTATGCCAGAAACAGGGAGTCAAGTATCCTCCATCCTCTCTCTCTCCCTCCCTCCCTCCCTCCCTTCCTTCCCTACCCCGTCCTCCCCGTTAATGAAATATTCATTCAGTGATTCAAACAGTCCCACTTCCGCAAAGATCAAAAATAGCATTATCCTCATTTTTCTCCAGCCTTGCCTTTCAACTGAAGCCCCCCCCCCAAATAAACAACCACCCCACTTCTCTGTGTGCAGAGGGTACGGAGGAGACGAGGGATCTGATTATTATTATTATTTTGTCTACGCTCACATGGATAAAACCCTGGAGAATAAAGTGCACCTCTCTCTCCTCTCCCTGGGTGGGGTTTAATCCCCCTCCCCAGGTTTCTCTCTCTCTCTCTCTCTCTCCCTCCCTCCCTCTCTCTCTCTCCCTCCCTCCCTCTCTC